GAAGAAATCTGATGCTTTAAATTGGTTCTTTTGAACTGTTTGCTTCTGCTACAAATAACTGATTTAACAGATCACTTAGAGTCATAAAACAACATAATATATATACTATCTTATATTTAAGGTACCCAAAAATGATATTAAATGTGGATGTGTTGATGTTTGAAGCACATACAGTAAATGCACTTCTCTTCATCAACTTATCATTTTACATTGAGTACAAGAAACCATTTAAACTTGAACTTTACCTTTTGCTGGTCTGCTTGTTTCTCACATGAGCTTATCGACAGTTCTTTAGACAAAACATTTTCCTTAGTTCAGTCATTGTTATTGAACTGAAATGATGAATGAGATGGAAAACCTGGCTTCACAGGATCATATTCATTCATTCATTTTCCTTCGGCTTAGTGTCTATATCAGAGATCGCCACAGTGGAATAAACTGCCAACTATTCCAGCATATGTTTTACACAGCGAATGACCTTCCAGCAGCAACAAAGAACAACACACACTCATACACTATGGCCAATTTAGTTTATTCAATTCACCTACACTCTCAGAAATAAAGAGAAGCTGTCGCTGGGGCAGTACCTTTTCAAAATGTCCTTATTTGTGGCAGAAGAGTCCATAATGGTACCTCAAAGGTACTTTTTAGGTACATTTGAGTACCAATATGCACCTTTTAGGTACCACTGTAGACTATTTGTGTACAAATATGTATCTTTTAAAAAGTTACTGCCGAAGCACCCGGAGGAAACACACGCCAACACGGGAAAAACATGCAAACTCTACACAGAAATGCCAACTGGCCCAACCAGGATTCGAACCAGCGACCTTCTTGCTTTGAGATGACAGTGGTAACCACTGAGCCACTGTGCTGCCACAGGATGATATATTCTGGCTTATTCACACTTAGGAGCAATTGACAGGCATGAACAGGCAGGAAAAGTACGTTTTAATTGACTAACTTAACTTGTAGATCTGTGCTGTTTTACTAAATCACAAACTGTTGAAGATTTGGTGAATGGGTTTAACCAGTTTTTTTTTTAATAAAGCTGATTTAAAAGAATGATTTATTCATAAACCTGATATCACGTTGGACCATTAGCCCAAGGCTATGGATTACAGGTATTGATGTTTTAAATAATGTTTTAAACAATAGCCATTGACTTCTGGTAAAGATAAACATTTTTCATTAAGATCTACTAGAAAAATGTTTTCTACTTCTTGGTTGGCCTGATGTAACTTAACAGCTGATACATTTTTTTTGTATGTCCAAATAGGGGCGGCACGATGGCTCAGTGGTTAGCACTGTTGCCTCACAGCAAGAAGGTCATTGGTTTGAGTCCCAGCTGGGCCAGACTGTAGTGTATGTGAGAGTGTATGGGTGTTTCCAAGTACTGGGTTGCAGCTGGAAGGGAATTCACAGTGTAAAGCATATACTAGATAAGTTGGCGGCTGCAGCAGCCCCTGATAATTTAAGGGACTGAGCCGAAGGAAAATGAATGAATGAACAAATTATGTCCAAATAGCAATATACTGTTGCTAGAGTATAGCTTGTCTTTGACAGCGTTTTACTAACTAAAACTGTAATATTTAACATGTCATATAATATAATATAATATTTCCTCACACACATACATTTATATATCTTTTACTGTTAGTTTTCACTATATTTCCCAGCACTGTCTCAAATTCATTAAAAACACACACAAATACAATCTTTCTTGCCATATGACATTATTTTCAAATCAGTCGGACTACTGCCTGAAAACTGATTGTTGACTTTAATAATTTCAGTAGAGTTCTCCTCTAGGCAGGCTCTGACACAGAATATTAGAAAATAAACAAGAGTGACATTTAAAATCAGCTTGAATAAAGATTAGCTTAATTATTACAAAGTTGTACAGTCAGCCCAAAGGCTACGGAGTTTAGCATCTTACATCATCTGCTTCTCTGTGAACTGTATACAGCATCAAACTTCAGCAGTAAAACATGGAAAGAAACATGAGAAGAGAAAGCAAGGCCAAAATGGAAATTTAACAGGCCCATTTAGAGTGCTGTCATTCAAACCTGTGGTATCAATACAATGAGCACAGAGCGAAGAATCATGAATAGGAGATCTGAGCTAATATTCATTAAATCTTCAATGCAGAAAATGGCATGTGAGTGTTTCTTATCATAGTCAGATTGTAAAACACACTATTCAGTCAGACCTAAGACAGTAACCTTTATGGCAGAGATTTTTTTGTACGATTTTAATGTTTTGGTGATCAAAACCACAATGTAAAATAAAATAAACCAATCGAGGCACTTGCATTGACCAACACTACCACATGCTAGAATTTCTGCAGAACATTACACCATACGCCTACCATAAAAGAGCAGGAAAAGATAATGCATTCATATATTGTAATTTGCATACAGTTTGACCATGCACATGTTTTTTAGATAATGTAGCACTTGCAAACTGTTCAGTACATATCAGTTAGGCTGTTTGTCAGCTTTCCACCCACTGTTAGCAACACCAGCTATAAAATCATACACTTGCCATTTTCCATGACCAGCAACACCAGCTTTTATCGTTTTAAGACCCGTTACACTATTAGACTGATTTACATACTATGTCTATGCCATCCCACAGTGTGCCATATGGGTTAAGACATTCAAAACCCAAACGTCACATTTCAGGTGCACCAGGATGTCCTGTTGTATATCAAGCCATGATAAGCAGTCTTTCAGGACAGCATGTACCAGATCAGAACAGGTCATCTGGGACCAAATATTGAATTCCAGAGCATCATAAGACACCATATAGACAAAATCAATCTGAGCATGTGCTTTAATATGTTGTGTACCATTTTTATAGAAAGTGACATCAAAAATATGATGCAAACATACATGTGCAAGATAAGACTTGTGAACCTTTCATTTCTAGAGGCCTTGTTTATCCATGAATGTTTAATTTTCATCACTAAGCTTTCCACGACCATTCCGACCACCCTTTTTCTCATTTACACCATTAACGTTTTCTGTTTGTTATCAGCTTCATCTTCACTTTAATTTCAACTCGGATTCCATTGAACCACCTAAACCCCATCCAGTCTTGGAATGCCCCACATTAATGTTTCAGTAGATATCGGTAATTATTGTCTGATATGCCAATAACGATATATACAACGTCCAATAACGCAGTGAAAGCTCAAATCAACAGCTGTCATCAATGTCAAATAGGCATGAAATATGGATATCCATTAATTGCATGAATAAGAAATGTTGGTAACACTTTGGAATACGGGACTCATAGTTATTGTTGTATTTACTAACATGAACAAACAATGTATAAAGCTTGTACAGCATTTGTTAATCATAGTTTAACATTTACTAATGCATTATTTAAATCAAACACTGTGCTTGTTATCATTAATTAATTCACCATGAGTTACCATGAACTATCAATGAACAACTGCATTTTTATTAACTATGTTAACAAACATGAATAAATACATTAATAAATGTATTATTCTTTTTTTGTTTAGGTTAGTAAAAATATTAACTAGCATTAACTACTGTACATGTCCTAGAGCGTAAAGTGTTTCCAAAATACACAAAAATTTAATCAGTGGAAAGATTTTAACATGGATCTAAAATTATAATGAAATATTAAATGTACTTATTTAGTACTTGCTATTATTTTTACGTTTATTTTGTTAAGCAAGCAAAATTGTTAGATATTTTAGTGCTTTAAAAATAAGTTGATGATTGGTTCAACATAATCTTTAATGGTTCTACAATTTGAAACTAAAGCAAGATATATGGAGTTCTTCAAGAACAGAACAATCGGAGAGTGTATGTATGTTATTTGCTGAGAAAACCAGCTAGAAACATTGTTTCTATTATTTGCATCTTATACAAACTTTGTTTCTAGATTCATGTACGGAACAGTTTAAAGCACCCAATATGAACACCTTCATGGTCTCTGAGAAGCACACTGAATGGACACAGGAAATATTATGAAGAGCACAGAAAAATCCTGGGCACTGCCATGTGTCATTCTCTGGTTTTACATGACTGATAAAGATTGCATAACCAAAACATTGCATTGCATTTCTTGCAATCTAGAGCAATATTTGGGCTTCACTGTACAAAAAAAAACATGCATGATTACAAAAGACAGTTCACTACCTTTCAAATATCCTTTTCCAAATGTATCTCTATAAGCCAGAACCTGTTCTCAGCTCTTCTCAAATCAATGGATCTTTTCTCAGTCCATCTTCAATCAAGGCCAAATGTCTTCAACAAATCCACAACCCATGCTATATCTCTCCTTGATCTATCCACAACCAATTCCAAATCCTCTTCTCAACCAATACTGATTTTTTCCTCCATTTATTCTTAACCAGTCCTGAAAATCTCAACAGATCTATGATCTATGACCTTATCAAAACCCAATCTTATCAAATCCTAAATCCATCCTCATTCTATCATATAACATACGTGTAATAGATTCAGCTTATTGCCTGTTGGCTTTCTATTCTTCTTGTAAGCTTCCCAAAATGAAAGTCCCCAAAGAGCATGCACAATGATCAAGCAGGTGAAAGTTTCAAATGCTTCCCTAAGCTGGATTTATTTGATCATAAATACAGTAAAAAACTGTAATATTGTGAAATATTATTCCAGTTATTTAAAATATCTGATCCCTAATTGAAGTACTCAGTATCACATACTTCAGAAACCATTATAATATGCAAACTTGGTGTTAAAAAGGACTTTTTGTTATAAAAAGGTTGTTCTGCCTACTATTTGTGGGAAAACCATGATACATTTTTCAAGACTCTTTGGAAAAACAGACACAGACAAGTCTTCACAGTCACCTTTTTTTTTTTGATGGGCTACAGGAATGAATGTGATTTGGTTTAAATCTGCCAGAATGTTGGACAGCCCATGCAGTTACCCTGCCTCTCCCTATACCCCATGTTTTAAATTTCAGCTCTCGTGACTCACCTGTTCAATCTTGGCGAGCCATTCTTTGTTGCGGGCCAGTTCGGCCATGAAGGCCTGGTGCTTCATCCATTTCCTGTGCAGCTTCTGAGCTTCATCTCTAGCTCCATCGCGAGCTGTCAGCATCCTGTCGGCCTCTGGGAGCTCTGCTCAGCTACACCATACACACACATACACATGCACAGAGCAGTCAGCAGACAGCTACGACACAGACACTCTCTGTCACAATCTTTCAGCCATCACTGACACACACAGAGCACTAGGCCCCATACATTCAATAGCAAAAGAACATTGCAGCACGAAAACCTAGCACACACACACACACACACATCCAAAAAAATGTCCAGAGCAGAGGAGAGAGCAGCACCTCAGCAGAATGTGCAGCAGCAGTGGGGTCTGGAGCTCAGGGGCGGGGGATCCGCTGGGTCCTCATGTCCTCCAGGTTAGTGTCCAGGCCCCTGCAGTTCTGCTGCAGTATCCGTGCGTCAGTCCAACAGCTCAGAAAAAACAACCGGTACGCACGCACACGCAAGACAGTCACCCACCAAAAGCTCTCAGTCTCTTAGAGAAATCTTCCAGCAAACAAACACTGCATTATAATCCCTGGGCTGGAACAAGAATCAAAAGCTGAGTCTTTGCCTGCGTACGTCCGTGTCCGGTTTCAGAGCTGTGTCCAGAATCTCTACGCCGTCCTGCTGTCGACCTGGGTGGATGGGGGTTCGGAGGAGGAGTGGGAGGAGTCGCTGATTTGCGTGTATGTGTGGGGGGGGACAGCAGATTTAGACACCTAAAGACACAAGTTACCCGCTTTGAATGAGATCACGCACTCGGCTAGCATCGCACTGCTGCAGAGGATCCGGCGGCTGAATGAATGCACACGTGTGCTTTTGTGGGCAGATTCTCATGTGCTCAAGTGTGATTGCAATGCAGCATGCTGCAGTCTCTCTCTCTCTCTCTCTCTCTCTCTCAGCGCAAAAAAACCACCTCAATCCCATCAACAGACTTTACTGCAGTGCCTCAGAGTGAGGGAGGGAGGGAGGGAGAGGCGAGAGAATGAGAGAGAGAGGGAAAAAGGGAGGGGGTGGAAGAGGATGAAGGCAAAGGGGGGTGGCAGAGAAAGAGAAGAGAGAGAAAGAGAAAGGAAAAGACGAGGCATAAGGATGGCACATTGGCCACAAAAGGAGATAGAAATGCTGTAGGAGAAATGCACCTCATGCAGGGCAAGGAAACAAGAGGAAGGTGTGGAACAGGTGTAAAGGAAAGAGGAGAGCAAGCGGGGGACATTTTTCAGTGTCACTAGGGACATTTATCTGCACCGTGGGGGCGGGCTAGTGTGTGTATGCGTGTGTACGTGTGTGTTGGTGAACAGTAAGAAAAAGGGAACAGATTGGTTTAGAAAACAACCACAGGGATGCTGAGGTACTGGAGGTCACAGCCTCAGCAGTAGTGTTGGGCAGATGCCACACACAGGGTGCATGTGTGTTTAAGGACATTCAGAAAGGAAGAAGCGTGCAAATTACATGTGTGCTGAGAAAGACAAATTCACTGGAGAGGTGGATTATGTCATTAGAAAAGGTCAGAAGCGAAACCTGACGATTCAGTGGGAGATATCTTGAGTGTGTGTGTGTGTGTGTATAAGGCATCTGTCATCATTTCAAACAGCTGAGTGAGAGCAGAGGAAAGGACACACACGTGTCACTGTAGCATAGCTGCTTCAGATTTAAAGAGACAGACAGATGTTTTAGAAATGCACACACCCAGAAAACACTGATTTGGGCTGCAATTTGTCTGCAGAAACTGGTGTATTCTGCTTTCAGAAACAACTGAAGCAATTACGCATCACTGCTATTAAATAGAGGATTTAGGTTAAAAAAGAGACAAGGACTGTACCATGTGAATCACAGAATATGTATGAATTACAGTAAATTATATGATGATTGTATTTCAGGCCAACGATTATGCAAATGAAATCGAGCAGCATGGAATCAAAATTAGAGATTTGTAGGATCATTACTTGAAACAATTTAGTTATATTTTACATTTAAATGTATTTTACATTTATGCTATCTCAGGGATTTTCAGACTAGAAATTTGATGATTACAACATATATTTTAAAAGTAAGAAATATAGAGAAAAAATGACACAGACAGATAGAAAAATAGACAGAGACAGACAGGTGGACAGATAGACAGAGATACAGACAGGTGGGCAGACAGACAGATGCACAAACAGACAGACAGACAAACAGACAGATAGACAGCCAGATAGATAGAAAGATTCACTGATGCATTATTAAAACCCAAAGTTGTGCTAGTTAACATATAGTGCACTGTTAACAAGGACTAAAAATGTATTAATGACTGTCTTTTCATTAACATTAACAAAATTAATAAATACGGTCATAAATGGACTGTTTTTCATGTTAGCAAATACATTAACTAACATTAACTTTTTGAACTAACAATAACTTATTACGATTGTATTGTTTCTTTAATGAATTTAGTGTGTCCTTACAAAAATATAAGTTTACCCTCATATTTTTTGCAGAAAATTTCAAAATAATTTACTCATCCTCTGTCATCCAAGATGTCTCTCTTCAGTCAAAAAGGTTACTGAGAAAAAAATTCCAGGATTTTTCTCCGTTTAGTGAAGTTAACTAATCCTTTAAAAGTATTCATTAGGGGCTAATATGTATAATTCAGAAGCCCTTTTCATTAGTGACACCGGTGGCCACTAATTAAACTGCAGCCAGCTAATTATTGCATGTGCTTGCTCTCATGCATACAGTGCTGTATGTAGCGCACAAGACTGAATATACTGCAATGATGTATAGAGTCATGCAGGGATGATGTGAAAACCCAGAAGACTAGCTTGCTGCGCGTTCCCAAATGGTTTATCAATGGGGTTCTATAATGTTTTATTTTTTTATGAGTAAAATGTGATTTAATAGGTTTTAGTACACATAATTTGACAATACTTAAAGCTAAACTGCAAAAATTCATGCACAGACTCCACAAACATTCTTGTCTATTTACATATTTTAAAAAAATAAACAAGTTTTCTAAAATACATATTTTTTATACTGATGTCCATTGCATTGTAAAACCAAACATTAAAGAATTGCCTAATTATGTTTACCACAGACATTATTTAATTAACTTAATAAATTGAAAAATCCCACTGTTAAACCCTTAGGAATAAAAGGAAACCCACTACAAATTATTTTGTTTTATGTTTTGAAGTCATCCCCATTTTATTCTAAAAGTGTCTGCTAAATGAAAATATGTATTTTACTTGTGTCATTATGTCTTGTTATTTGCTTAGAATTAAAAATATTTAGCAAATACCTTTGCAGCATTAGAGTGATAACCAGAATCCAAATGCAGACCATGCTGTTGAGAATGATGTGTAGACGAAGATGTGCTGCACACACACAAAAAAAAATGACAGCGGTGAGAAATAACAGCAGTAAAGTAAGCCTATGATCACAACATGAAAGGACTTTTGTCTTTTAAACAATTTCTGCTATGCACCGGCATCAGGTCAGCAGTAGGTCTATTGTAAGTCCCTTTGGACAAAAGCGTCTTCTAAATGGGTAAATGTAGATGAGGCACTTGATGACAGATTTGAGATATTTGAGATTATAGACTATATAGATCTGGCTATGTGAGACCATATTTTGAATGAATCCCTTTATTGGCATGTAGCACTACAGTACTGAAAATCTCTTTATCCTTATCCATAAGCATGATTTCCATGAGTCATAAAATGGAAGAGAGGCTCTCAAAAGCATCAAAACCTTCACCCTCTGATCTTGGTTTGATGAAGAGGTCTGTACACTGGTAATGCATCAGAGGCATGTTGCACAAAATGAGTTAAACAAACTCCAGGTTGCAGAGTAAGATACAGTCTGACAAATCCCAGAGTTTACACCTTTTCCAAAGTCAAATTGAAGCCCCTTTCAAGCACTTTTCATTTGCATTTTCAAAACATTTCCATCATTTTACAAGCGTGGCAAACAGCACATTTACATACATATACATAATTCTACAGTAATTCAATGCTATTTGTTATAGCACTTTTATAACAGTAATCTAAACAAAATTTTTCAAAGCCCAACATTGAATTACTGTTATTTTCCCACTTAAATGTAATTTACTCGCATCCTAAATGTGTCATCTTTCATCTTAAAGTTTTTTATTTTTTTTATTTAATGCCCTGTTCACTCAAACAAACTCAAATGGTGTAAGCTGATTAATCTCAGGTTAAGTGGTTTCACAATGCCTGATATCCAGTTGAAATTATTAGCAAAAAAATGCTTTTAGAGTCCAACCCTGTTCCTGGAGAGCCACCTTCCTGCAGATTTCAGTTGTAATCCATATCAAACACACCTGCCTGTAATTATCACGTGGTGTTCAGGTCCTAATTAATTGGTTCAGGTGTGTTTGATATGGGTAGCAACTGAAATCTACAGGAAGGTGGCTCTCCAGGAACAGGGTTGGCCACCCCTGGACTAGATATTTGACTCTACTTGCAGCTGACTGGTCCAATTTGGGTCTGCTATCTCTAACTCAGAATAAAACTTGTTCTGGAGCAGGTTACACAAAAAAACATTAAAAAATAACCAAATTTCTAGAGCCCAAAAACTCAAGACTTTTCTCAAACTAAATGCATCTGTGTGACATAAAATAAAAACAGTGTCTCTGCATTAGATCATGTGCTAAGGTTTTTAATATGTTGCTTGTTAGATACTGAGGAAAACAAATAACCTATTTTTTTTAAATGTTAATAAAAATGAAAACAATTTTCTCTAAAGCAGTGTGCCCACAATGACATATCTGAAAATGTGAAAAGTTCTCAAAATTAAATACTACAACCTATAATTGTATTAAAAAGGTTCAAATGATTCACCTTTGCTTTGGTAATTCCCTGGATGTCAGCATAAACTTGTCTTCTATCACAATCAAAATCAATGCAGAAGCCTTCAGCTGTTGGACGCCCCCCTGTGGACAGCATGCTCCACTGCGATATGGGAAAAATGCATTTCCATTCCTAAAAAAGCAACCACATAATCAGGGATGAAACTGCACATTAAACAACAATGTTTTCACGTTTTTTTTATGTTAAGTGTTTTGTAAAATTTCTATAAATATTGTGGAAGAAACACTTTGTTTAAATTAATATGAAAAATCATAGGCGTCATGTGGCACAATACGTAGCATGATCGCCTCACAGCAAGAAGGTTGGGTTCGAGCCCCAGCTGGGTCAGTTGGCATTTCTGTGTGGAGTTTACATGTCCTCCCCATGTTCGCGTGGGTTTCCTCCACAGTTCAAAGGCATGTGGTATAGGAGAATTAAATAAGCTAAGTTGAACGTGATGTATTTATGTGCATGCAGGAGTGTATGGGTGTTTTCCAATGTTGGTTTGTGGCTGGAAGGGCATGCGCTGCGTAAAAACATATGCTGGATAAATTGGTGGTTCTTTCCACTATGGCGACTCCTGATTATTAAAGAGACTAAGCTGAAAATGAATGAATGAATGAATGAATTAATTAATTAATTAATTAATTAATTTATGAATGAATGAACAAGCATAATAAATTAAAGAAAGTCTTTTGTGTGAAGGATTATAATAATTTTGAATTTCAAGTCTTTTCTTTACATTGTTTAAAGTGCAGTTTACACAAACTATTTTCGCACTAACGTAACTCGCTCTCTTCTTGGGCTAAAAATGAGCAACACTTTGGCAAACCCCAAGATGTTAATCCCAGGAAACCTGCAGCATGACATTTTCTCAGAATTTGGTTTACACATTATATTGTTTCATTATCGATGTGCAATGTGCAAACCTGAAATAGTCACAGAATATGCAAGGTCATGTTGGGAATGGGATTAATAAAACTCGACCTAATCCAATAGGTTCTAATAATGTGTAAGGTTTTAATTTTAATGTATTTTTAAGCCCAGTGACTAAGACTTAAAGCTAATTTAA